TACCGTTGTAGCTCGAGTGTAACAGTTGCAAGGCGAACCTGTACTTGGTTAGAAGAAAGTGGAGCTTGAATAGGCATAATATAGTAGCAAGGAAAAACAATATTCGCAACTGAATAGCAAAGCTGAATAAGTATCCCGAATACTTGTCTTAGTTGCTGGCCTACTCACGTTCCAAGTACTAGATGTATCCAGTAACGTGAACAGCAAAAATATGATTAGGAACAAGACAGGAATCAGCACACGCAAACACAACTCAAATGGCGCTCTCTATGTGCTCCTCTAGATATTCTTCCTCTTTTGTCCCTCTCTTTTTTCTATTTTTTTGGGCTGTTATTGTTTTTTTGGAAAATTTTGACTTTTTCTTTTTATTTTTTTGATATTTTTCCTTCACTTAGGAACACAAAAGAAGTAACAACAGAAAATATGAGCTTAAACAAGTATAAGGCGTGGCCTGTGGAAATTTTAGAAGAAGTGCTCAAAATCGACAAAAAGCTTGTGACCACAAAAAGAGGATCTTGTGACCACTTTTTGACTAAAATAAAAATCTTCGACCCCGAAAGGACGGGGGATGGACGGATCCGAAAAATTTTTCTGATCGATTTTGATATATGGAACATTGAAATCCGAGTTCGTATGCGAAAACTAGACCAGTTTTATGAACTGACTCCGAATTAGATGACAAAACGGGAACAATGCGCGCAAAATTAGTCACGACAACAAGGATTTGAATGAAACAGTGAAGACAAGTGTAACAAATTAGATGGCGTGAACTAGGGTTTGATGGATACAAAGGAAACACAGCAAGACTTGAAGGTGTTCACGGATTATGATGAAAAACAAAGAAAACACAAACTAGACTCCAAACGATCTAAAACCAGCAACCAGAACTTGACCTAGGGCACAAACTCAACAACACGAAACAGAAACGAAATTGCACGACACAATGAGGCTATAGGACAGAGAATATGTGGTGGCGGCTTTTTTTTTGCTTTTTGTGGACTATAGGTAATGTAAAAACAGTAATAATTTAAAGGAAAAACAAAGTTATACCTAACGGGCAACAAGGTCTCTGATACCACTTGATGTAGACTAGGACTGATCTTCCGAAAGGTATGATAGCGTCGATTGGTGGAGACTCACCGTTCACGATCTAGGCTTCGAACCAAGACTGATTCGGACCCCCGCAACCGTTACACCACTGCTCCGTTGGTTATCAACCACGCAAACGCGATTGACCTCACCGAGAAGGCTTTCCTACAAGTGAATCGAGAACACAAGCAAGAACAGGATGAACGCAATCTGAAATTGCAAATAAATATGAGGCTTATGATAACGAAAAGGAGTTTAAGTCTTTATTCGAAAGGATTAATCGCCATAGGCTAACAAGATCAAGAACTGGGGCTCTGGTTCACAGCAAGCAGCCTTGGCGGCACAATTACAGCAAAACGACGTCTGTTTCACTAGGAAATCAAGAACTAAACAAAACACAAACCCTAAGGAGAGCGATGTCTGATAATTATAGAGTCTTGGGCGTCACCCCCCTGGACGCGCCCTCTAATAGACCCAAACACGATACACGGTCCAACGGACCAAAAGATGGTGTCGCAGCACCCTGGCAGATTCTGAACGCTGACTTGTAATCACGATTTCCGTTGATTCTGAATAGCTTTTGACGTGAGACCACCTGGATTGGCTTTCCTATCAAATTTGCTTTCCATCCATATGTGGATCGTCGAAAACGGAGTCCGGATGCGTTCTGGGTGACCAGTTTAAGACAAACTGGTTCTGAAACCCGAGATGGGCTCCAACTTTAGATGGACTGGGCCTCTACCATGAAAAAGATGAATTGGACGCCCATACTGGACCTCCTCCTCTCCTTGGCTTGTATGCGACGAAGTAGTGATGTCCTCATCAGATAAGATCTAATATGTTCATTAGATTTATCTTTATTAAATGGTTAAGTGGTGCTGAATTGTTTCTTTATATAAAAAGGGGTTCGGTTACTTGTAATCATTAGCTCAGTTTAAACCGATCATCATTGATATCATATTGCCATTGATTAATTTTTGCTCAGATTATATTCATCCTGGATGATAACCGATTCTTCTTACACAACCCCATGAGCTTTAACCGATTTATTCTTATGAATATACTGGAATCGACTATTTAGTCGATCTCCTCTCATATCGGCTCTCAGAGCCGCACATTCGGGACTGTCTAATAACACCGGCACGTTCCGCCCTTAATTTCTGATAAGCTTTCTCTCCTTGTCAATTGCAGGGTCAAATTGACCGGCACGCCTCGGGAGGATTGCGCAAGATCGACCACTCTTGCGCTGAAGCTATGCGGATCTGCTCCATCGAGCGGATCATTCCGGCTTGCTGCGTGTGTCCTCGGCACGGAGACGAAAATTCTGTGTCAACAGCCATACTTTTTCAGTCATGGGAAACCATGTTTTTCTCTCATAACAAATCAGTCGTAGCAGCAATAAACCCTGCCGAATAGGGCCTTTGTCCCGGGCGTTTGAGTGAGAATGTGTCATGCTGGCAATGTCCTAGCAAGGATACACTATTTATACCTCCACTCCTCTGAGTCACGTTCATTTTACCTGCAAGAGAGTCACGCTAGACAACAATCCACTTTTTCCTCAAATCATGTAAGTTTTTCACCCATTGGTTGTCCTCGAGGTTATACTTAGACAACAATTTATGCCACTTATAGATGAACAAAGCTTTTGATCTATATTTGTAAACACATCTCTTAAAAATTGACAGGTGATTATGAATTGCATGTGCAAGATGTTTAATAGTGTTGACATATATGTACCACAAACTAAGACGATGGCTTGTATTCTTTAGTACATAAGCAATTGCACCTGTCATGGCTGTATCTTTGATAAGTGAAAATTGTTCTTGATGTTGTCTGATATTTCTGCTAGAAAGGCTTAAAGAGCCAAACAAAAGATTCAATACTCTCATTAAATATCAATTCACACCCCCAGCCCCCCAAATTATTGTTTGTATGGATGGTTAGTTCCAAGGATTGGAGCAAAATGCATTTTAAACTTATTAGTATGAATCGAGATGTCAAATGACACATCGTCACCATACACATGCAAATATAATCCATGATAAATTAGCTGTCTGTCCAAAATAAGTTAGCTATCCGACCGTCTTCCTTATCTATTTCAACTGCATAAAAATGTAGGATCCTCTATTTGATTATTCTTCAAATATTACAACAATGTCTAAGCATCATTAGATTATAAGTACTTCTTGCGCTCGCGCCTATCTCATTATTGCAATCCATCGTATTGAGATGGGCACTTTGTCAGCTCCTCCGAAAACTCTTTCACGAACTCATACACTTGGGTTGGTTTCATCCCAACTTCCCTTATCTGTCCAATTAGCTTCTTATTTTCTTTTGTAATACGCTGTTAGGACTTCAGCTTGTGTAACTTAATTATTTGAACTAGCGAGACAATGATTAATCCCGCCGCCCCACGGGATTTGGCCAGATCTGGACCTAACAGGCGGGAATCGGTGGTTCGTGTTGGGGAAAACGAGAGAGGATCGGATAAAAGCTCCATGGGGAAGAAGGTAGCTCGGAGACTGGAGATGGTCGGGTGTCGGCAAACGGGAGGAGGAGAAGAGACGGGCGACGTGAGCGGCGGCGGCGGCGGTGTGGCGGAACGAGAGAGTTTTGAGTGGGCGGCGGCAGAATGCGATGGGAGAGAGAGAGAGAGAGAAAAAGTAACGACTACCGTCCACACCTGAGCCAAAGGTAACGAGTCGGACGCGTTGAGCCGAACAAGGACTGCGAAAAGCGCGCATGCATGTGGGACCCAGGTCAAAAAGCAACCAATCAGATGATCCTGGCTTTGTGGCTGGCAGGTGTTCAGCGTGCGTGACTGCGTCAGTCAAAAGATCACGCGAGTTTCCAAGCAGTAGAGTGTTGTACGTACGACAGTACCGATGTAAAGCTCGCGTGTGTCCGTGCTACCCCTAGCTTCCAAGTACGTACATGTCCGTTGCTCCAATACACCAGTCCTCTCCTCGTATGGTACAAGTTTCACGCGATCCTTTTCGTCGAGGCCGGACATATATGACACGTACATAAATGGCAGCACGCGTGCAAGCGTAGTGACCATTGGCTTTGGTAGGCACAAGTGCAACAAACGATCGTCTGTCTTCCTGTCAACTTGTGCCTACCAAAGGACGGATATGGTGAAACAAGCAAAAATGCTTGAGAAAATAATTATGATGGTCATGTTATGATGTGAATGTAGTATTACTTCTCATGCATTTTTCAGGCTGCTTGGCAAGTGGCAACTGGCGTTTTGCCTCCATCGGTCACCAGCGTCTTCACATCGAAATTTGGGTAGCACGCAAGCCGTGTTCGACTCACAAATCCGCGTTTCGCCTGCTCCGTCGTTTCTCTGTTTTTTTTTTTTTTTTCTTTTTCTTTTTTTATATCATCAGCGTTCTAATTGGACTATACCCCTTGTTTATGATATGCTCTCTACTCTCTTTTGGGGCCAAACTATGTCTGCTTTTCCGGCTATCAGCGTCACTATGCTCCTAAACATATCCATCTAGTATAGAATCGAAAAAAGCATCACGCAGTACGTAGCCTGTGTCCAAAACCCCCTTCGCCAATTCAAAATTTCACGACGTGGTCACACGCTCGCACCGAGGCAGCGGCCAGGCGGCCGACAGCAACGGCGGAAGCGCAACAGGACGTCACATGTGATGCGATCTCTCGGCTCGCCGTCCTGAAGAAAAAGAACAAAATACGGAGTATATAGGACCTGTTTGTTTGCTCGGACGAGGGTGGCTCGTATGGCTGGCCACCAGGTGTAACTACTCGTGTTTGTTTTCTTTTTTAACGAGGCAGGATGAACCGAGATCATGTTTGTTTGCATGTACAGATGTTTAATCTGATAGCCTTACCACCCCAACCTTCTTCTTCCTGACCTCGTTGGCATTTCATCGACCACCTTACGGGCGTGAGCGTTCCTCCAGCGCGCAGCACAGCAGCTGCGGCGGCAGGGGCAAGGTGGCCACGGTCATCAACGAGGACCTGCCGAGGCTCGCGGCGACCGGGATCGGGAAGGGCGCGCCGGAGGGCAGGCGGCCAGAGAAGGTGCTGCTGCGGGCCGCGGTCATCACCTGCTCACGCCGCGTGCCGCGGCATCCACGGCAGGCGCCATGGAGCAGCACTGCGGCGCGCATCTCCTCCACCTCGGCCTCCCGGATCTGCGTGCTCCGCAGCACTCCCATGCCGCCGTCCCTTCGGCACCTCCGCCTCCACCGACGACGCCGACGCATCCTCGAGCTCCGCCGCGCGCCGCCTCCCTCACCCGCTCACGGCGGCGGCCGGGCGGCCGAGGAGAGCCTCGCCCGTGGTGGTGGCCGGTACCTCCAAGCTCACATCGGCGGTGGTCGTCGTTCGCGTCACCTTTTCCAACCGGGGGAGAGAGAGAGGCTACCGGAGGTGATGCCAACGCCCGCTCGAGGCCGCAGCGAGCCTGGCTCTGGAGGAACAGAAAACTTTTTCGTTTCCCCGGATGCAGCATCTTCGCTGCTTTAACGTGCGTGCAGGGCTGGCTGCTGGGCTAGGTCAGGTAAACAAACAGCCCGAGTTGCAGCTGGCCGGCCGTCTGGGCCAAGGGAAACAAGCGCACCCATAGAGATCGAGTCATTCTTTCAGCGGGGAGAGGGGAGCTTCTATATTGTAAGGCGCACGTTCTTTGATGGGCCCAATTTATACGAACAAAAGATTCGGCCGAATTGCCGAGTAGTAGAAGCACTGGGTCCCTCATTTGGTCCGTAACACCTTGCCAGGCCGGCCCAGTAGAAATCTAGACGTCCAACAGCCCACGGCCGTGGGTCGAATCGAATCCCGTGACCAATGTGCGCCTCAGAAAGGTTAGATATGTAATTAGATGACCAATTAGCAGGTAATCACGTCATTGATATATATATGCTAACTGTTATTATTCATATGCTAATATGATTAGCGATAACTCATCTGGATCGTTCAGGCTACTCCTGAAAGGGCACCAAATCGGTCCCCAACAGTCATTCACATCCATTATGAACTATATATATATATATTATTTGTTCATTTGATTTATTCATTCATTCAATTTCTAGTTCTCATTTACATTCAAGAACTTCTAGTTCTAATACGTTATCAAGCACGCTGCACAAAGGGCAATCGGCTACAAGAGTACCACAATAATGAAGCAGTAGAGGAGGAAGAAGAAAGAACTCGATCACTGGACAAGGCACAAAAGTCATCTTCTTCCACGAAGTTGGTTTTCACTACAAGTCTGCAACATCACTGGCAATGATGGCCTTAATGACAGAGGGTAAGAACAATGGCTTGCCATTCATGGCGAAAACAAAAGAGCAAAAGAGGCTCCATGGCCTCAATCAAGCCCCATAAACACCATTATCTTGAGCGCCTCACGCCTAGAGAGGCATGGCAGCACCAAGCCTATGAATGCCGACCGGCGGAGAGCATATATATGGCCTATCAATGCTCCATGGCCTCAATCAAGAGCCATAAACACTATGGTTGAACGCATATATGGTCTAATTTGGTAATTTGGGGTTTTGGTGATTGATGAGCATAAGTGGTATGAGTAACATGTGTTTGCAGCGGTATTCATATTGGTGTTAGTTACAAGTTGAATGCCCACAAGTGTCTTGGTCCCAAATACTTGGATCGTTGATTGGCGCATGCAGCAAAGGATATTCGTGAAGACTAAGGACGCATTACATGAAATGTAGGCTTGGTGCTCGAAGACATTCGTTATAGTGTGTATTAGGGTTTTGTTTTCCTTTATCGTACTAGCTATTAAGGGGTGGGGTCCAAGGCATTCATCCTAAGGAAGTTTAAGCAAGAGCTTTTGGTATAACACAAGAGGTTTACTCTCGTTCAAGTCCGAAGCCATAAGTGGCCCCATTGGATAGGTTTTAATCAAGTCAAGGATTTCAAAGAAATTGAATTGATTGAGATTGGACCAGACCAATTTTTTTTTTAAAAGGAACGGTAAGAGATTTGCCGTGAGTTTTATTAGACGATAGAAAAATAAAACAAAGTACAGATAGATTTGCCAAGGCTCTAGAATACAACTTAAACGCACAACAAGGCCTAGCTAGAAAATCAATATACGATTATAAGACTTTCTTAACGAGAATCCCAAGTATTTTTGTAAGAGCAAGGAAATTCAATAGTCACTATAAAAATGTAATCAAAGTCATACATGCTCCATTTTCCTTTGCTGCAAGGCCGATTGAGCAACAATCAACAAAATTATACAGCAGATATATTCTTCCAAAAGAAAGATATACAGTGATTTGTATACATGTACAAGTCCTTTAGTTAATTAAGAACTAATATACAGTATAAAACTCCACCGTTCTTATTACGGAACAACAGATCATTAAACAAAAAATTGATAGCGTCAAGTTACGTATATGTGTAACAATTAATGAACAATGAATGGTTGTATCCATTCCTACACTTCAGCATCTGTACGTCCAGCCACTCACTCAACACGTACTCCGATCCTCTTATTGTCCAGCATTACGGTTCAGTAAACTCCGGTGCCATGCATTATCTGCCTGCATCACTCTCTCCTCTAACCTATATCAGTCGAATTGTTGCAGTTGCACGTCTTGGTCAGGGACCAAAGCCAGCCGCCCCCACTGTAGTGTGCACCTCAAAGTTAGGCATCAGGTGAGCAGAAGCAGCCGCCCTGTTGGTCGGAGCCGCCGCCTGGTTGTAGCCGATTAGGTCCGCTGGGCTGTAGAAATCTACAATGCCTGCCTCCTTCAGCATGCTGTTGCCATCGTCATGGTGGTGGTGGTGGTGATCAGTCGCCGCAATGGCAGCAGCGAGCGGGACGGCGTCCTTGGCCATCGCCGAACCGCTGCCGCACTGCCTCGGCTGCGTCTGGTAGAACACCTTGGAGACGACGAGCTCGCCGTCCTTCTCCTCCTCGTCGGACCCCAGGTGGTACTGATGCATCACCCAGTTCGTCTTCTCCGGCTTCCGCTGTTTCCCGTAGTTGGTGTAGAGTACCAGGATCTTCTTGTAGCCCTTGAGTTTGCCGTTCGTGAAGACCGGCCGGGTCTTGCCCGTCTTGTGCCACCGCGTCTCACCGCCCTGCTCGTCGGTGTGGACCTTCCGCCGCTTCCGCGTCCCGGTCGTGTAAGCCTTGGACGGGCGGTGGAAGAAGTGCCGGATGAGGCCGTCCTTGCCGACACCTGAAATTCATCGAGACAACGTTCCTCAAATATGTCATGAGATGAAAGTGCACAAGTCACATTTTTACGTGCTGAATCTATCAGAAAATGACTTAGATTCTTTTCACAAAAATATGTTCTCTGCCTATTACAATTGTCCAAAGATATAAAATATTCAAGGATATATAGCTTTGTATTTCCCAGTGCGATATTTCACAAAATAAAATATAGAAAAATAGATTATTACCGCTGAGGTCTCTATAAGTTTTTGAGGTTGGTGCAAATAAACAAAAAAAACGAAAACCCTTAAAAGTGAATATTCATGTCCAAATAAAATCTTATTTATACTAGTTATAACTTATAAGTGTTAATCTATGCTAAAAAGAGATGGATCTAAAAATTTCTCATTAAAAAATATCTTGCCATTAGTTAATTTAGTAAAGTCTAATCATTATGGACAATAATAGACATTGGATCATTATACTTTTTTTTAAAAAAAAACAGCTACCTATGCTTTTATCAAAATAGTCTAAAATAACCTTAAATCTATATCTACATTATCCATCTCTACCAACAAATGATAAAATTTGCATATAAGTTGACCATTATGAAAGATAATCTAAAGTATTACCCAATTTATTTACATCTAAATTACTACAATTGTTGTTAATAAAGTAAATTAAAATAACCACTTAGTTATATATCCTAACACCAAGTATCCCTAACATGGCCAAGTATCCCTAACATGATTAAAAAATCACGCTTCTACCCCTATTAATTTGTAAAAACTAACTCAAGGTAAATACGTATGTTGTGCGCCACCATGCACACCAACTATACATGCATGCATGAGCTACAAGGGCACCTGCAATGGTATAAGCTAGTTACTAGCTCTAAATCAACTTCTTCAATAGTGCTAACTTTTAGCATAGCTCATAAAACATAGATAGCCCCACATGATACTCTCACATGTTCTTGGAATGTATATGAGCCTAACTCTAGCACCCGCAACAGTAAGAGTCAGTTACTAGCTCTAAGCTAACCTTTCCAATAGTGTTAGCTCTTAGCAATGGCTCATAGTAGGATTAGGCCCACATGACACTCTTACATGTTCTTGAAATATGTGTATGAGCCTAGCTCTTGATCAAGAACTAGCTTTTCTCTCTCTTGTATTAAAATATAAAAAAAATACTTAGAGCTAGCTTATGAGTCACTCATTGCGGGTGCCCTTAAGCAAGAGCTAACGTTTCTCTCTCTTCTATTAAAATATAAAAAAAGCTTAGAGTTAGCTTATGAGTCAGCCATTACGGATGCCCTAAATATCACATTGAAATGGTAAACGGAGGCCAATCGTGTCATTTAGCCCACAAACGGTCTACTAAATGCATGGTTGACTATTTAAACAATCAAAGCCAAAAGAAAGACTAATCAACCTAAACAGAATCGAGGTAATAAACATGATTATACATGTTAAATGGTTGTTTAATTCGTTGGTTATTCAACACAGGTGAAAATTAATGTGAAGGAGAGGTGTTGCTTTGTGATTTAGACATGCTAAATGGTTGTTTAACAAGACATGATATAACTCAAGCTAAGGTTCTAACTAAACATGTATTGAAGACACATATGCAGAGGTGCAGTGTAAAAGGTGAAAAAAATCTGAGTATGAATGAAAAAAAGAGTAATTAGATAATTATTGTATAGAAAATGAACATAGATAGATGGAGGAAATATAAGCAATTATGTTAGCTGTGTGCCATAAATCTATCCCAGATTCTGATGTCATTTATCTTTCCTATTGGATCACAATGGTGTAAAGATAGGGCGGAGGAAATGATATAGACGAATCGCCATATAAAGTATTGATCCACGTAAATCACATGTCAGAATAGAAAGAAAAACCTATTTGAAGCACTAATCGGCGTGTTCGGCTGATCCGTTGCGCAGTAGATTTTGGATTATTTTGAATGATTTAATAGTGTTCTGTGAGAGAGAATAAACTGAAACAAGCTGGAACTTGAGCAGCTGAACACGCCGATTCAAATTTTGGGGCAAATGATAAAAGCTACTAGCTCCAAAACAAAATACATCATGCCTAGCTGTACTACTAATATTCATACTTGTTTTTCCCCTTTCAGAGTAAAGTAGTGCCTTTGCATTGTAGAACAAATATCGAAAGAAAAAAGAGAAAAACATCTTGATTAAATTTCATTATCCACTAATTCATTATAGTATATATACAAAAACTAGCCTGAAATAATCTGTTGGATTGTACTTCAGATAAATTGTTAAAAACCGAAAACTTAAAGTTAAGGAGAGAAAATAGTAGTTCTCATGTGTATCATAAATTCATATATAAGTCCTTTCTTAAAGGTTATACTTCCTTTTGATCTGATGTTGCGTGCAGCCTGCATGACGCGTAGACCTTTGATGGAGTTGTGTTATCTAAATCTGTCGTTTTCAGGGGTACTACAACTAAACTAGATGCCAACAAGTAGGACAAGAAGTTACTTCAAAGGCACCCTTTATCGATGTTGATACGTATCCCCCTCAAAAGCAAATAAACAAAGTACTAATAAACAGACATATACGTAACAAATTAAAACACACATGTAGTTTTACACATATGACGTGAGTGTGCAGACAATGCAGCACACTAAATTTCTAGGACTGGCCTTGATTGATTAAGCAAGACCACCAAATTGAAAACGACTAAAACAGTACAGAATGTAATCTTTTTCTAACACCAAAATAAGGATTTATCTAATATATAGTTTGAAGATTTTTTTAAAGAAATGCTCTTGCCGCCTTTCTAAAAAAATAATTAAAGAACCATTAATCTATGATAAGCTAGCTTATCAAGGTTCTTCCGTGACGGATCTTTCTTCGTCGCTGGTCTAAATCTGGAGAGATAACCTTTCAAAAAAATTCTGAATTGATAGATGGACCGTTTCTTTTTGTTTTCTTTTCTTTTTTTTCGCGAGGGGGCCAGGGTCGGAGATACGATGATGGACCGTTTGCAGCAAACGCTTTTGAAGATGATGATGTAATGCAAGCATGCAACTACTAATATATAACCAAATTATACACGCATAAAGAAGGAACGATTTCGCAAGTACGTAGGGGCAGGCAGGCAGGCAGCAGCAGTTTATGTTGGCGTGTCTAGCAGTCTAGCCATAGGTACTCACCAGGAAGCCTCTCCGGATGCGTGTAGCAGATGCCGTTCTCGCCCTCGATGGTGGGGATGAACTCGTCGATGAGCGGGTGCAGCTTGCGGGCATCCGGCCTCGCCTTCCCTTCCAGGTGCTCCAGCAGCTCCTGGTCCGTCGGATCGAACTTCACGCCGGCCGGCAGCCCCGGCAGGTCCTGGATCGTCGCCGCCGCCTGCACCTGATGAGTGACGGCAGATCGATTCGATCGCTATTAGCGTGTGTTATTCTCGGTGCGTGTGAGTACTGACCATGCATGAATGCATGCTCAAAGATATATATAGACATAGTATAGTAGAGTAGCTAGCTTTAGAGATCTGCTAAGTGGGTGTATATATGATGAATGTGTAGGCGCGTACCTGTTCATATTGCGCGCGGTGGCCGCAGGAGGGGCAGGTCCTGATAAGGTTGACGTGGGAGGAGGCCTGCTGCTGTTTCTTGGCGGCGGCCACGGCCGCGGCGGTGGCCAGGTTGTTCTCCACGGCACGCACGTCGTTGAAGCTGTTGCACCATGTCATGGCCGTCGACGAATTGAAGACGATCGATCTCGCCCTCTCTCTAGTCTCTCCTCGTTTAGATCGAAGGGAAGGCCCTGAAGGGAGTACGTGACGAGGAGTAGAGTGGGAGAGAGAGAGAGGGAGATCGAAAGCCTCTTGTTGTCCGCGCGCTTTGCTCAGCTCGCCCCCATATGAGGCAACGCCGCTAAGGCTGATCCCCAGGGGAATGACAGGCGGCGCGCGCAAAAGAAGAGGGCGCGAGGGAACAAAGCGGCCGAGAAGAGAACAAAGAGAAAAAGAGGGCAGGAGGAGGAAGCTTGTCCCTGTTAAAAGCTACCGCCTGGCACCAGCAGCCACCACGCACACCACGGACCATCAGTCGATCCGGCCACCTATAGCCTGCGTGCGTGCGTGCGTGCTCGGTCTGTGTGTGCTCGATCAGTTCGGTCGCTTGGTGCGCGGCGCCACCTCCCCGTCTCTCGCTGTCTGTCTGGTACAGGAGAAAGAATTGTCACCAACTTTTTTGGTTGTTGCATTGCATCTCCCAGTGCAACAAGAGATCGATCGCCGCTACTACCTGATCGATCGATGCGCCACGAGCTCGCTGCCCGCCCGGGCAATATAACTCAACAGCTATTAAAATTAAAAAAGAAACCGGCAGCACGTACGCAGCTGGTAGGAAAGGCTCGATCGCTCGACCGGGCTAGAGACGATGGACCGTGCCTTCAGGATGATCAATCGATCGCAGGACACGGACGTGACAGCAAGGCGAATTGAAGCTACTTGCCGATCGAGAGAGATGGAACGCGCAGCAAGGTTGTTAGCTGATCTCGACCGAGCCGCAGTCGCTGTAGCTACGGATCCGTGTGACGATGCGTGATTGCGTGTGCGGGAACACGTTTGGCAGAAAAACAGGGTGGGAGGGGGGAGGAGGCGGCGGCAGGGGCGATGGACCTGGGCGATTGGTGGGGGGGTTGCTTGTCCCTCAAGTCTGGGCATGCAACGGAGGAAGCCGTGAGCCGGAAACCAGGCCAGGCCGGGCGCCGGATTCTCTGCGCGGCGGGCCGGGCCGCGCGCGGGGTCCACCGGTCCACGTACACACATCGCGAGTTGCTGCGTGCACATATATCCATGGGGGATGGGATACGATGGTGCGTGCGGCGTGCCCCTCCCTATCTGACGTCGACGTCCATTTATCTGACGACGGTTAATGTTTGCACGTCTGAAAAGACTCCTGCTGGCCTGACCGATTTGGCGATTTGCCATATATATGAGCCGGCCGTCGACTTGGCTGGCTGATCGGTCGAGCAGGCTTCTTGCAATCCATCATTACACGCACGCACACGATCGACACGCACTACAGATCACCAGCGGGCAGGAAAACAAAGACTGTTCACTGTTCGTTCATCATTAGCGCGTGAGGGTGGCATGGCAGCTAGCCGCAGCGCAGCCGGGCGGGGTGGTGGTGGAGTGGAGATGGGGCAACCTGATTCGCGTGCCCGATCGAGGGAGGCCGGACGTTCCACCTCACGCCACCCTACTTGCCGCGCGCAGCAACGCAACGCCGGGTGTGTGCTGTGCTGTGCGCCCCGCGTCTTTGTGGCTGTGGGACTGGGAAAGGGCCGGAGGACCGACTCGATCGAGAGATCAGCTGCTTTATTTTAGATACGAGGTCACCGTAGAGTGTCTTGGAAGAGAGATACCCCAACAGCTAAGACTTGAACCGTCCATCTACCGCGCGCGCGCGCGTCCGAGAGCGGCGACGTCGACGACCCCGCCCGGCCGGGGAAGAGAGAGATAGTGGGAGGAGGGTGCGGTGCGGGCAGGCAGGCAGGCAGGCAGGCAGCAGCCGAGTAGCTAGCTGCTGGCTGCTGGTCGTGGCGTCCGTCCGGCGGGGAAAGGTACGCGCTGGATGGCACGCGCCCAGCGGCAACGACGACCGTGCAATGCGTCCAGGACAGCCCCGCTGTGTAGTGTAGTGTGTACATATATACTGGACCATTTATTTAGCATGTTCTGGTGCTGATTAACGAAACTGACGGTCTCTGTTTTTGAGATCAACCACGATGAGGGAAGGACGCGCATATGGACCTCTGCGTGGCAGCGCATGCATACACGCATGTATGTCTGCAGTCTGCAGTCTGCCACGACAAATCGGCAATGCATCGCCCTTGTTTGTCTGACGGAACCACCGCCGATATTATTATTATCCTTCTTATCATACAAGACATGCAAATGCATGCTGCTGGGCTGCTGGCTTTCACCACTGTGCACGCATGTAGTGCCAAGGTGCACAGTCCTAACTCCAAACCCAGTCGAAAAAAAGCACGCACAACGCAGCATGCTGAAAACCCTGGTTTTTCGTGCCTGCGTGCCAAGCTTTACAAAGCAGGGATTTTGTTGTGGGTGTTGGTACTCGTATTGGGAATGAGCGGAACCAATTGGTGGTTGCATTTTGGAGTTGGAGGCCACTCCCCTGCAGTTCTGCTAGCTGACAAGTGCACAACATCATCGCGAAGCGCTTTTAGGTGGTGAGAAATCAATTTTTAAAAATGCTCGAGCATATGTGCCTGGACCCCACTACTGAGTACTTGTTAGGTCTTAATAATCCAAAATTAAGATCACGAGTTGTTTATTTCCGACACACTAGAGATTACTAACAAGCTAGCTACTGTCCTTCGAACCTGACATATGGACAAAGTAGTCTGCAGTACACAGCCTTTAATTCACGCTATTGTCAGTGCTAATATAGTTGGTAATCCATCAAACGTTGAATATTTCTAGTTTCTCCATCTCATTTTTTACCTTCTCCCTCTCCTTCGAAACCTTCCAAAATTTTCAGTTGAGCCCTTACTTCGAGATCTGAAGTACCGTGTGCAAATCAAAAGTTTATGTTGGCTTTCATACGAGATCGGGATAGTTTTTTTTTTTCAATTCCAACATACAGCTTTATTACCTCTTTTCAACCTTATAATATTTCTAACGATAGTTGTAACTTGACATGCAAGCTAGTCTCTCTCTTGGTGAACCATGCCAATCTTACGCTCCACAAGTACAACATATATATACAATGCCTTTGTTGGTTATGGTCTTATTATGGAGTATGCGTTGATGAGTACCAGTACAACATGTATATATAATCTATAATCACGTACTAGCTGGTGATATCCTAGTCATCTTGTAGGGCAAGCCTCGCCGTCGTCCTAACTCCGTCATGTTGAAATATGGCGGCAGGTACTTCCCAATAGGGATCAGGTTTGATTTCGACGTTTTAACGCAGTTTTTCTGAACAGATGGGCTCAAAAGCATGCAAAAAACGACTGCAAGGGATGCACGTCTTCTTGCTACCTACTCTACTGTGTATGAAATTTATTCGGCCAGAAAGTTGCGCCAGGTTTTCTTGGGTTGGCCGTTAACTCTTGGTACTGTCGTCAACGTCGAGAAAATATAGAGAACGACTGTTTTTCTTACTCGCAAAATCGACGTGTTCTGTTTGGTTGTTTCCCCTTCGTCAACATTAATAATGATACCAGAACTTTGTAGCTAGAAATACGGGGAAAGAGTGACACGTTGGGACTATAGCAAGAGAGCAAGCTGAAATGGCGAAGTGTGTAGAGCGCACGATCTGAGGGAAGAAGTGGTTTGGGGTTTAGAAGTGCTCCAGTATTTTTTTATGGGTGTACCAACACATTGATATCCAGCTTAAGGCTGTTCGGCTGATGGTTTCTGCGGCTAATAAGCCGGCTGATGTTGTTTTGTCGTGAGAAAAAATATTGTACCATGACTGATAAGACAGGCTGATAAGTTCAAGCGAACAAATTTGTAAGATTGGATTTTTGTATTTGTGTAATCTCTCTAACATTCATTATTTTTTTATTACCATGGAAAAACCCAAAATTTGTAAGATTGGATTTTGTAACACTCTTGGTGTTAAGCATATGCATTTCATGGGTATCACCATTAGCTATGCATGATTAAGCATGTTTTTGCATTAGAGTAATGATAAAAGACTATAAAATCAATGAATAACGACTTACTAAAACTGCACACATGAAATGCATATTAACTCACCAATCGAGTCAAAACAATCCTCAGACAACTCTTAGCATATTGTTAAAAGTAACTAGTATTGGACTCCCTGATAACATAATAAGGTCTAAAGTGCAAGTCTAGCTGACTAGCATCGTTATTAAGATGTTGCGCTTAAGGCTGAATGACACTTCTATCATCAACACATAGGAACTTGTTTAACCAAGCTGAGTGACTACCAAGTGAGTGCAAGTGAGTCTCAACTCCTAGCCCAATGACTGTTGATTGAGTAGGAGCGAGCCTCAGCTCCTGGTCGAGCGACTGCCAAGTGAGTGAGAGAGCTTTCTAGCCTTCTCCATTGCTATTTGTACATGAACAATACATAAACAGTACAAAAAGGACAAGAAGTACAAACAATCTACATTATGGTTGTCATGTGCATTGTGGATGGCCACAAAGCCCATTGTACATCGATGTGGCGCCACCGTGGCACCATTATTTACCTATCTGGCAATGGGGGGCTACTGCAGCATCCTCACATGACATCGTCATAATCTCCAAGGGACTGCCTACAAGACGTGTGGGCCATGCAAATTTGTACCCTCTACCTCCCATCCCATCTATATAAAGAGAGGCAGGGGATCATTCATACGGTTACACACTCTAGAGAAGGACCCCTTGTTACGACTCTCAGTCACTATCTCTAGTAGCTAGTATCACCCATGAACTCCCAATTCCTTTCACCCCTCATTCGTAGCCCCTACTGCAGATGCAGAGCACTCATGCTCAAGAACACGAATATTCTCGCCGCTGGATGTAGGGCACATTGCCTAAATCGATGTAGATATCCCTAAGTCTCTAAGTGTTAATCCATTCAAACTCAATGCGTGTCTCTAAACTTACTTGTTGGTGCTATGAAATACCGACAAATGGCGATGCTAAAACTTGAAAGTTAAGGATCAATAGCTAGTAAGCTTCCTGCCTGGGTCACTATGGGAGTCGGGCTAAGTACAATGCCACTTAGTCAGATAAGTCTTGCTGAGTACATTATGTACTTAGAGTTTATTCTTATAGTTTATTCTTATATTGTTGCAAATGAGAACCCAAGTGGAGAACTTGCTAATCGGTAGTGAGTCAAGTGTCACCCCGAGCAAATTATGCCCATTGCTCACTCAGCTAACCTGTTGTATTGCTCGAGAGCTAATGGTGGGCACAGTGATGCCCAACTATTGTTTCTTTTGTGTCTTGCCGCAGCTATGTAGTGTCCGAGTCCCATGAACATGGTAATCTGTTGCGGAGGTTCTTTTATGTTTTGTACCCAGCCTCTATGTAATCTTGATGTAAACGGAATTGCTTCTGTTGTGTACTATTTAGTCTTCCACTATATTCTGAATTCTTCTTGTCAGCCTTGATGTAAAGCTATGTTCAATTTGCTCGGCTTTGGATTTGAAAAGCTATGTTCAATTTGTTCAATGTGCTACGTTGCGAAGTGGACAAAGACATGCCCGCCTTAAAAGAGCGCAAGGATGGTGCTTCGTGTGAAAGAGGTACTTGGGAGTTGGGACTCTGAACTCTGCTGATAAAATGAGTGTAAAGAACTAGTTAAACTTGACATATGGTCATTAGTGAATAACCTACCACTAAAAACTCATATGAATGCTTTTCCCGAGTTGGCAAATTAACTAGGAGATCTAGGTATATAGTATTTCTTTCTTTTATAGAGTTAGGCCTTGTTTAGTTGGCCGAATTCGGTGACGCCGGATTCACTGTGCGTCACTGTAGCGCACTGTAGCATTTCGTTTGTATTTGGTAATAATTGTCCAATCGTTGACTAATTAGGCTCAAAACGTTCGTCTCGCAAAGTACAACCTAACTGTGCAATTAGTTTTTGATTTCGTCTACATCTAGTACTCCATACATGTACCACAAGTTTAATGTGACGAGGAATCTTCTTTTTGCATAGTGCCAAAGTTGGAAGTTGGGAGCAACTAAACAAGGCCTTATATGTACACTGAGGACAACTGCTGCACACACATGACCACAAGGCCCTGTTCGCTTGTCTTATCAGCCGTATTTTTTCAGCGAAGTAACGTTGTTTTCTTCTCATAATAAATCAGCGAACAGTATTTTTTAGTATGGCTTTTCAGTAAAGCGAACAGAGCCACATGATTAAAGCCGTGCGCTGTCGTCTCTCGGCGACTTTACAATGTTCCCCCAGACTCCTGGTGATCGAGTGCTGCCGCAGTGTTCTGGACTGATGGTATCTTTGGTGCCGTCAGCAAAGATGCTGGGATGAGCAGCTGGGGCCACTGCAGGAGGTTTTTGTCTTAAGAAAAGCATTTTACTTGTCGGAGACTAAAGTGGATTGTGCCCATGATCTTTATGGTCCCATGCACAAGACATGCATGCAAGCATATGATCTTTGTCTTTTTTTCATAGAGGATGGAAGCAAATGCTTACCTGCATTATTCTTCTGGAGCTTGTCAAAGACAAGGTGACATGCTCTTTGCATCAGTTATGTTCAGATGACTATTTGACCCGCTCACGCTAGAGACTGAGTGCCAATGCTCTGAGTTCCAGACATGAGACCACATATATGAAGGAAAAAGAAAACAGTTAGGAGGTTTTGGCCACCGTCCAGCTCATCCCCTGTTTTATCTGCATCGTGTAACCCAGCTAATGAAATCTCTAATCATTTGCTAAAAGGAAAAGTTAAATGTTCAGATGGTCAGTAGATGGCCACATGGCCTTGGCTTGGGCTTTTGATCAACAGATCGGCCCATAAATGTTGAGCCCTGTCTCAGCTTCCGTGGTGCCCTTTTTAATCTTTTTATAGCAGGCTAGCTATTTTCTCCGTCCTAAAATAAACACACATCTTCCTTATCAAACAGTCAAACTTTTCAAAATTGAGCAAATATATATAAAAATATACTAATACCTATGATGTGTAATGAGTATCATTAGAGGATATAGAATATACTTTCATAATAAACTTATTTAAAACTACAAATGTTGATATTATTCTCTATACTTGGTCAAACCTGAAAAGAGTTTGACTCTTCAATAAGTGAAATATACATTTATTTTGGGACGGAGAGAGTACTTCCTTCCTTTTATCCAATCAGTTTCACAACTTAGCTATTTAGAGAAAACAACAAACAAACGTGGGGTTGGGGTAGTTGTTAACGTACCAAATAACACCATGTTATCGTCAAAGAATTTACAGATCAGCGGGGGCACCGACTTTTGGTCGCAATAGCAAGCCATCTCCTGGTTCGTGGCATGTCCAATTATCCCCATAGAAGAAAAATAAAGCCATAGGCCATAATTATGAATTTGCCGACGGCCATACTGTAACCGCACGCTTTACATAAGCAAGCACTACTAGTTACTGTTCCCGCTGTTACACAAATGTGTGTTAAAACAGCTGGAACGCAGAAGAGAAACTGCAGCACCAAAATTCTCCAAGTTTGTCTCGCTAGAAACCTAAAAATATAACTCCCAGCTTGTGTCAGTTTTGATCATATTTTTATTGAAGGGGCATCTAAAATGGCAGCAAACAGCAAACGACTACAGCTTATTCCCCTTCCATCGGCAGAAACACCCATCTTCTGCTCAAATCTCCGACATAAGATCTGCTGAACTTTGTTAGAGTGAAAAACCAGTGAGGCCAGCAACAATGGCTGCTACACACCTCGACGCTGAGTTGCAGCACAGTGAGAGACGTCCTCTCTTATCGAACAGAGCTGATGGAAACAACATGAGCCCCATGCAAAAAGCAATAGGCCAAACATACCAGAGCACTGCCCACCTCGCCAAACTCCTTCCTTCTGGCACCGTTCTTTCTTTCCAGATCCTGGCTCCCACCCTGGCAAAACAAGGCCACTGCAGTGACATGAACCGGATGATGACAGGAGGGCTCGTGGTGCTCTGTGCATTGTCCTGCTTTGTTCTCAGCTTCACAGATAGCTTCAGGGATGAGGAAGGGAAGGTACGATATGGGTTTGCCACATTCAGGGGGTTGTGGGTCATTGATGGTGGGGCTCCTCTTGAGCCATTTGCAGCAGCAGGATTCAGGATGCGGATTCTAGACTTTGTACATGCCATTGTTTCAGCTATGATTTTTGTAGCAATCGCACTGTTTGACCAAAATGTGGTGTCTTGCTTCTATCCAACACCATCCGAGGATACAAAGCAACTTCTCACAGCATTGCCAGTTGTGATTGGAGTCATTGGAAGCATGCTGTTTGTTAGCTTCCCTACCACTCATCACAGCATTGGCTCCACACTCTCTTCACAATAATAGGGTCTTCAAATTTTTGTCCGCCCTGGTTCCTGCTGAATCAATTAGTTGTAACTTGTCAGCCCCTTGAGTAGGTTGGAGATGTATAACATTGCAACATCTATCTCTTGCAATAATATTTTGCAACATCTAGTCTGGATCCTGAACAAAACTATAATTGTTTCCAGTACAAACACCAATTATGTTTTTTTTCTTTGTGTTTTATCTATACAATATTTTCTTCCTTTGTTAGAAAGCAAAACTAGAGCATATGTAAAGAACAAAGATATTTTATCATTTCTAGTTATGAATAAGATGGCAATAATAGAGAAGTAGAACCACGCCAACACAGCATTTATGTCTTCTATTCCATTGTCCAATAACACCAAGCACAAGATTCAACTATCCATCAAAGGAACATAACCACCACATACAGCAAACAAGAACTTAACTCTATTTTACTTGGTGAATAAATTATAAATCTCAAGTTCTCAATATTGCTACCACAAATGTTTCAATAGTTACATCTAACTACTCTTGGTATGCAATAGTTTGAGCTATAAGCTAAGCTGTATCCTCTACTTACAAACATGAACATTAAGTTCCTACTTCTGGGTCTTTGATTTAGGGGGCTTTCTTTTGTTTCTTTTCTCGCAATGGAAAGCCTCTCGCCACATCCACATCAAACAATCCATTGCAAAGCACAACAATACTCTATGAAAGCAGGTCTGTAGTATACAGAAGGGACATGGGAGATATAATCACATCATACCTGATGAGTAAGCTTGCCAAGATGTTTGCTTGCGCTAGGCGACACCAGGTAATAGCACAAGCATAGAGCCAAATTTCTCAAATCAACTAACAGTTAGCCGGTCCCAGATTTCCTCGGCTTCTTGCCTCACCTTCTTCTTACTCCAGTACCCACTGATAATAACATCCCATGTCTCCCTCTCAGGGATGCATCTCTCTGACAGCATGTCAAGCACAACATGGGCAGCTTTCTCTATGTTCTTTTTGGAGAAGCTCTCAACAAGAAGATGGAAAGTGGTTGGGTCGGTAGAAATACTACGAGTCCTTGTGCTCTGGTAGACCTGAAAAGCCCTGCCAAGTTCACCCTTAGCACACAATGCTATCAGCGCGGTATTGTTTATCCTGGAATGCAAGCTCCAAGTCACCCGGTTTGGTTCAATACCGGCAAGAACCATCTCATCCAGGTAATTTGCAGCCTCCACAGCCCTTCCTGCATCACATAGCCCAACAATTAGCTTCCCAAACAACCCAGCATCAGGCTTCCGCCCCTGTAGACGCATCCGGTCCAAGACCTCCATTGCCTCACTCAGCAAGTGCTCCTTACAGAGTCCATCAATCACTGAGCTATATGTGATCGTATTTGGCAGCTTCTTCTCCTTGATCATCCTATCCATCAATTCTAACGCTGATGTGGCACGTCCACCCTTGCACAGTCCATCAATCAGCGAACTATAAGTGACCAGATTAGGCGAGACCCCTCTCCTCCCCATTTCATCAAATATCTTTAACGCGTCATCAAAGCAACCCTCCCTTGCGAGCCAATGGATAACAGTGGTATAAGTAACAACAGTAGGTGCAATGCATTTCCCAACCATCTCGGAGAACATCTCGAGGGCCTCGGCCAGGCGGCCACGGCGGCAGAGCCCGTCGATGATGGTGTTGTAGGAGCAGACGTCGGGTTTGGGGATGTTCCGGAAAAGGCGAAGAGCGTCTTTGATGTGAGCGGCGGCGTCGGAGCAGTGGGCCTTGAGGAGGACGTTGTAGGTGGCAGTGGTGGGGGCGAATCCGGCGGCGCGCATGTCGGCGAGTAGGGAGCGGGCCAGGGGGAGGTGCGAGTGCGCGACGAGAGCGGCGAGGACGGCGTTGTAGGAGCGAGCAGAGTGGGGGAGCGCGAGGTCGGAGGGGGCGGAGCGGAAGAGGTGGAGAGCGGCGAGCGGGCGGTGCGTGCGGGAGAAGGCGCGGAGGAGGCCGAGGAAGGGAGGCTCGAGGGCGGCAACGGAGGGGAAGACCCCGCGCGAGCGGGAGAGGAGGGAGGTGGCGAGGGGGAGGTGGCCGGCGGAGGCGAGGCGAGAGGTAAGGAGAGAGACGGTGGCCGGAGACGGGGTGATGGGGTCTGGCGCAGAAGTGGAAGCGGCGGTGGCAGCGTCAAAAATCGCAAGGGCGCGGCGAGGGTCCCGTTCGGCCCGAACTAGGCGGTGGAGGTGGTCTGCCGTGAGGGTCTTCGGCCATTTGGGTGGCGTGGGGTTGGCCGGCGGCATGGGGGCGGTGGTGAGGTAGGCCTAGACAGGTGTTCGGCGGAATGCCGAGGAGCGTGAGGAATGACTCTGAGCCCAGAACTCAAACAGCGAGGAGGCGGCAGGCGGTCACCATCGGACGCATCCTCCAGAGTTCCTCCAAAACAAGGAAATCTGTTTTGATTTTTATTTATTTTCTTTAATTGTTTTATTGAAAATAATTGCCCCAGATAAATTAGCAGAAATATACTCCAATTGCCAATTGAAACGGTGAGATTATTCTGACCATTCAAATGGCGGAACTTTCCTTTTCTGTGCTGCATATCTTAATAAAAATCATAAGTTTTCTCAATGGATAGAGTTAAGCCACGTCGTCTTCAACCTCCCGACGCACCCTTCCTCCCCCACTCCGCCCTGGCCAGTAGCCGTCGCGTCGCCTGCAACGCCACCCACCTCTCGCCCCCGCCTCTCCAGCCCGGCCTCCGTTAACCCTAGGGCGCCGGCAAGCTTCGTCGTTCTCGTCCTCGTCCCGACCCCACCCCGACCACTAGCGGCCGACAGCGAGCCGCCACGCTGGAACTTTTGCGTTTCTCAAGCACACCCTGGAACTCGCATTCAAGATACCCAAAGAGCTCATGTCCTTCACTTTCATCGGAACCAATATTGTTCGAGTCAATGGGAGTGTTTGGCTGCAGCCGCAACGACTGTAGCTGTAGCAAAATGAGAAAAAAGTTGTAGCAGCAGCTATGGCTGCAGTGCCTTTTTCTCTCCTCACATGTTATAGTAGTTGTAGCCACTGCGGCTGCGGCCGAACACCCCTAATCTTATTGATGGTTTGAAGCTAAGTTCATGTTTTGCTCTAAACTGAGGTCTAGCTAGTAGATAGTAGAGAGATGGCTAAATCCACGTTTATGTCGGGTCGCTCAATCCATCTTTCTTTCTTTCGCTTTGAGAATTTTGCCCTTATGAAGTTTATTTAATGGATAAAAAGGTTTATGAGATTGTAGCGCTCGATAAGAAATGAACAATTTGGGGCAATATCGTTTGAAGCCATCTCAAAGCAAAAATAATGAAAGTATCGTGTTAAGATGGTCCCAAATAAAAAGCTTGTAAAGTTATAATCTTTATGTACATCCAGATTCATATATAACTTTTATGTACATCCAGATTCATATGAAAATTTATAATCTTTAATATAAACCATATAAAGAAGGGAAAATTCCACCAATTGGATTGGCAAAATCTAAGGGTGTAACACCCCGAATGTTTAAATATTAAAAACCGGACATATCATCATATGCATTGCAAGGCATTGATCATATTGCAAACTTTGATATGCATTCACTAAAACAAGTTTATCTTTATGTTATAAGTATTGCTTGGTATTGTTTGAATCAAGTTCGAAATCTTTGTATTGATTTGAAATTTCGAAAACCTTGATTTTCAATAATTAAATCCTACCCTGAAAACCTATTTCAAAATCGAAGCATATTTTGGGGTTGAGCCTTAAAGCAAAAGTGTAGATCTTATCAAGATATACAAAGTTTGTTTTTGAAGTTTTTCAAGTTGTTTAGTAAAATTTGAAGTTAATTGAAAAGCCGAAATTCCTTAAATGTCCCCTTTTCGAATTCAAAAGTTCATTTCAAAATGTAGACCAAATTAGGGGTTGGTTATAAAAGCAAAGTTGTAGAACTTTAAATTTTGAACAACTTTTGTTTTTGGAGATTTTTGAGTTGTTATGAAAATTTGGGAGTAATTTGGAAATTTTAGCAAATGGCATATCTGTAATTTTTGTGAACAATGTCCACCGCCGAAGCTACATTGCCGGCGTTTCCTTCTTCGGCGTTCCAGGCGCGGTCGTGGCCGTTTTGGCGTCGCGCTGGCGCGGTGAAGGCCACAACGCAGCTTCCTCGAGCTTCTTGACCCCCTTTTTATAGCCTGAGCCGCCGTCGTCTTTGCCCTTTCTCCTTGCTCTGTTTTTCCCGACGCCTTGCTCATCTCCGGCGTGCCCGCGCCGTCATTGTTGTGCTCCACCGTCGTTGATAAGCTAGTTCCAGTTTCGCTTACTCCTTGCACGTCCAGCCGACCCACCAATTCAGCTTGTCTTAGCCGAGAACTCGAGTTACATCGTCTTCTTCCTCGCGGCCGGCAACACCTCCGCCGAGCACGATTCGCCGCGGCCAGAGCTCCACGGTGCATCTCCGTTCTTGGTTTTGGTTGATTCCGTTTCGTCTTGATGCTGTGGTACTTAATCCATAGTTGGTTGCTCATTTGGACCACTGCAGTCGTCGGTACACCATCGCCGACGACGTTTTGCTCCGCCGTGCTTGCGCTGATCGTCGAACCACCTTGCTGTTGCTCCTTAGGCTCGATAATTGACTCCTAACCGTTCGGGGTAAGCTACTGATTCTTCCTAGACCTTTTGTTTAACTGCTACTGGTCTGTTGTCGCCGGCGTAGCGCCGCCGTGCATTCGCGTCTACCATGGCCGGCGTTGTGCTTGGTCCAGTCGATGTTGGGTCTTGATTTTGCCACCCATAGATGCGGCCTGTTGTCGTGAACGCATTAGAGCTTTGTCTGTCGCCGGTGACCTCACCGTCGGTGAGGAATCGCCGGTCAGAGCCGTCGCTGCCGTGGTCAACGTCGGAGGTGGAAGATGACATGTGGGGTCATGGTGTCAGTGACACAGCGTTCAAATGGGATTTTTCTATTTTCAGAATTGAATGAATAGTATCTATTTTTGTTATTTTTGTGTAGA